TTGCCAATACAACCTGCGAGGCACAATGGTTATTATTCCTCCTTCAGGATTTCAGAATCCAACATCTCTAACATGTGACTCTCTATTGCAACAACCAAAACGCCATATGTATTGCCACAAATCCTATTTTCCATGAGCGCACAAAGCACACTGAGATGGACTGCCACTTAGTTCAAGATAAACTCCAAGATAAAACAATTCACCTCATGCCTATCAAGACTACCAACCAAGTTACAAATTTACTCACTAAGGCTGTGTATTTTACTTCTTTCTCATCTTGTATTACTAAATTTGGATGGTTAAACATACACTTCAATTTGAAGAGGACTGTTAAAATACAAAGGCCCAATACCACTAAAACTGCCTTTTAGTTTGTTTGAGCCCACTTTATTAGTTTAGTTCTAATTGCTTCTTTTCCTAGTTTTGAGCACTCTGACTATAAAATACATGAGCTGCTACTTGTATTTTTCAATTCCAAAATAATAATATTTGTCATCTTCCACAATGGTGAAGTTAGTCTGCTGCCAACACATATCAACCTATCTCTTTATAGCTTCCAAAGTTATTTCATAATGGAAGTATACTACCAAATAGAAAACCAATTTCATATTTAAAAAACCAGTTTCTTATCAAAAAACCAGTTTCTTATCGAGAGAAATAGATTCAAGAGAAAAAGTTGTGGTGGAAAAAAAGTGCTGAACTTAGTAGCATATGAACATATTGGGCTAAAAAATAAAGTAGAAAACTATGAGCTAGTCTATTTTGAATTTTGTCTATTAGAATAATTATTGGCCCCAAAAAAGAAAAAATTAGATTAGTGTGTTAATATTTGAAATTTCAAAAGCATCGAGCATTTCTAGTAAGAAATGGTAGGTCCATGGCACCACCTAAAAGTGATTCCTCCAAAAAGGAAATTAAAATTATTATACCATGAAATTAATATTACTATTAGAAATCATTCTCCATTCCCTATAATCATTTTCTAAGTGAGTACCGTTGGATAGTGATGAGGTGAATGAAACTGAATATTAGGCTTAACAAATTTAGATGGTGACACAAAATCTCATGATCACTTTCTCATGATCGTTTGTTTATTTTATCTAAATCTTTATCACTAAAGCCATAGATTTGGCACATTTCCAACGCCATTTTGCATTTCATGGTTCAAGTGGGACTCACACAATGCATTATGAATTATGATCCTTATAATAATGCATAATAAAAATAGCAGGTCAACCTAATAATATAACGTTAGCTCATTTAATCACCAAATGTAAAAAGGAAAAATGTCACCCATATGGTATCAACGAACTTTGTTGATAATAAAGTTCAATTAGAAAATCAAAGTAAATCAAACTAAATTAAATTGGAGTAGTAAAAAGTCGTTTCAATTCAACGAAACCATTTTAATTAATATTTTTTTTAAATGACAATTTCATTAAGGGAGCATTAAGAAGCTCAAATCTAAAAGGATACGACTAAAAAAAAATTCTCATCAACCAAAATTACAAAATTAAGCAATACAAAGATTCCATACACAACTCTAAATAGTTAATGTTGAAATACAAAATGTCTCCTATGATCCATCATTTCTAAACCAAATACTCAACGAACCACACTATATTATTCAATCACATTTAAACTTGTTGAATATTATATCATTTCGAGAGTTTCACAACCCCACACAATCGCCAACTAAATGATATCATTTTTACCTTTATTAGACAAACTTTTGAAATAAAAATTCCAACACAAGAAAAATTCTCAAACTGGTATTGTAACATAAACCTTGACTCTTTCCATCCAACCACCAATTCGTTCCCAAACTAATTTGGAAATCGGATCGTTGAAGAACAAATGGTCAAGATCTTCCTCTAAACTTCGACAAAACACACAAGATTCTTCGTTCGGAGCAAAACTAACACCTCTCTTAATCAATTGATTTTTCGTGGTCAACCGATCCCGAAATAATCTCCAACAAAAAGCTCTAATATTACCCGGAATCGGAGACTTCCAAATGGTCTTGTAAATTTTCTTATCAACCTCTTCCACCAGTACAAAGTTCTTCGCCTCCATTAACTCTCTGTAACCAAATCTTGTTGCATAATGGTTAGAATGAACGTTTTCCTTTTCCATAGTCTTCCCTTGATCTGCTCATGCACAAAAAAACACATCAGGATCCTAAAGCAACTCATCTTTGCAATTAAAAGTAGGAGAAACATCTGTCAACATTCCATAAAACTCTCTCCGCATGCCATTGTAAGTATGATTATCCAAACTTTCAAACCCACATTCTCCCCACCTCCACACTGACTCCACCCACTCTCTCATGTCAAAGACGAACGACAATTTCTTATTGTTACAAAAGTACAACTCCGTAAAGTTTCAGCAAGAGTAAAGTTTCAACACCATTTTCACAATCAAAAAAGGATTTGTTTACCATCTCCAATTTTATAGCAAATTTTACCTTCAAAATTAAAACTCGAGTTAGCTATAACTGCGCCAATTTTAGCCAGATCCTTCCACCATGTTGAAGCTGGGACAACAACCTTGCACTGATCATTCGAAAGGATTAAATCCTCCCAGTCCACGCATCTCGCTTCTACTAATTTCTTCCAAACAACTTCCTTTTTCAAAAGAATTCTTAAAAAGTAAAGCTAAATTGAATTCATTCAAACTAGTAATGGCCAACCCTCCACAATCTTTATCTTTGCAAACCACCTCTCATTTTACCCAATAGATCTTTAAAGATTCTTTCGATCCTCTCCAAAGAAATCTCTGCCGTAATTTGTCAATTATTTTCCTGATGTGCACCGGAACTCTGTAAAACAAAAACACAAAACCAGAAAGGCTGCTCAAAAAAGAATTGATTAATGTTATCCTTTCTCCAAAAGATAAAAACTTTCCTCTCCATAACGATAACTTCAATTTAACTTTCTCAACAATAAAAGACCACATTTTAATACGTCCCGGGTTAGAAACAATAGGCAAACATTGAATTAAAATTATTTATTTGGTAATATTGTTTTGAAATTCATAACCATATTAATTAAACATGATAATATAATCCATATTTGCGGGTACTCATTCAAATCTAACTTAAATTTGACCGAAAAATCATGTTTTAATTGAGTTTGAGTTTAGATTTGTGTTTTTTCCAATTATGAAATATAAGGACGAATCGGATAATGAGAACACTGGTATACATTCTAAATTTGCTCTCGAACCCAAACTTATTTATTTAATATATATATATATATATATATATATATATATATATATATATATATATATATATATATATATATATATATATATATATATATATATATAATTATTTTATTTTTGATAATTTTAAATATTAAATATGCGGTAAAATTTTAAAACAATTTGTTAAATAACTTAATCGTTATATTTTTTAAAATAATTTTTAATACAAAATTAAAACATGTTTCTTTAACATTTTTCAATTTCAAGATTGATTTGATTTATTTAACATTTAATTTGATTTTATAACTGTTTGGACAAAACATATTCAATTCCCTACCTAAATTTAATTCACTAACTAAATTATTTAATTTCAAATCAATTTAATTTGGTAGCTCAATTCAGTTCATATGATTTTTTGAACCGTCTTAATATCAATAATCAATCATAGTACTAGACCAACACCAAGTCATGGGTTGCTACTCCTCTTTCACCATTTATGTTATGTACTGATTTTTCCATGTTTGTATCCTCTTGTAGCAAAAAGCTGAAAGCTAAAAATGTATAGGGAATGAGATGTACGACGAGGGTACCACCAAAATAGTTATTCATGAATCAATTATTTTATGTGACGTTTCTTAAAAATTATGAAATATTGTCAGAAATTTTGCGTGCACACAAAAGCTTTCCCTCACCCTTGTTGGAAGGAGACTGTTATAGGTGGGGCTGTGTTGGTTAGAATCAAATATAAATTGAAGTAATAGATGAATAGTCACATGAATATATATAAAATTTGGTGATGAAAATAACAAAAACTAGTTTATTCAGTCAAATAAATATTATTTTAATTAAACATATGTTAGTGCTGGTGTTTAATGATTATAGAAAAATCGAAAAGTTATAGTTAGTGCATATCTGTTTGTGGTAGTTTTCATTGATAAATAAATTTACATGCAAAACTTGTGGGATGTTACACTATACTTCGATTCTGCCATTCGAAAAGAACATCTGCTCTAACAATTCCGTCTCCGTCTACTAAAACAATCGGAAAAATTTAAAAAAAAATAGGCATACGACGCACAAAAAGTTCGGAGTGTTTATGGACTGTTAATGTCCATAACCAATCCATAACCATAAATAATTCATATGTTATAACCGGTTATTAAAATCAATTCTTATAATCGGTTTTATCTTTTAAAATGGTTATAAATCGATTAACCGGTTATATCCATAGCCAATTTTATAATTAATTTTATTTTAAAATTAATTTTTTCAAAATCATAATATTTTTTTTAAAAAAAATATTGATGTTAAAAAAAAATAGTTATTTTAAAATTTTAAAAAAAAATATTTTTTAAATTTTTTTGGAAAAAATTTTTATTTACTGAAAAAAATTAAAACAATATTTTTTTTCAAAAAAAAAAAAAATTTATTTTCAAAAGAAATTTTTTTTTTTAAATTTTCAAAAAAATTGACTAATTTGGTTTTTATTTTGGATATGGATGTCCAAATTATGGATTTGGTTAAAACCATATTAAAAATATATCCAAAATGTGGATTTGGTTAAAGCCATACTAATAATTAATCGGTTTTTAATAACCGGATTTAGATATGGATATGGATTATTTAAATAACCGGTTTATTTGAGCACCCCTAGTGGTATGAATATGTTTTCACCAAAAACAAATTATGGTATGGACATCTTTTAGCGCGCCTACCTTGCCTGATTTTATTTAAAAGGTTAAAGAAAGGACGATGAGACAAAAACATTTTTCACTCCTCAAGGATAAAAAATGGTTCATGACGGGGAGGGTTGGAAATCGATGAAGATTTTTAACGGAGGAAAGAAACCAGACGTGAGGTGGGACGTATATCAATCTAAGGCGCATGTTGGATCTCACGGTGTGAGAGGTTGTGTTACGATATATTTCTCGAAATTTTTAGATTCTTATGGCGCGGTGGAGATGTTCGATGCTTTTAGAACGTATGGAGAGCCTGTTGAAATCATCATTCCACCCGAAAGAAATAAATTTGGGAAGAGGTTTGCTTTTGCTAGGTTCATTGGAGTGGAAGATTCAAAAAAACTTGTGATTTGTCTGAATAATATATTTTTGGGGAACAAGATTTATGCTAATCTTCCTAGGTTTCAAAGGAATTTCTCTTCCGTTAAAGTCCAGAGGGATTCGAATAGGGATGATTCCCCAAACAACAAACCCTTTAGGGACTTTAGTTCCAATTCTGATGGTTTTACTTCCAGGGAGGGAAAGAGAACCTTCGTTGAAGTTCTAAGAACGGACAGAGAAGCTAAGGTTGTTGCTAAGAGAAAGGAGGTGTGTTTTTTGGAGTTCAAAACTAGAGAGTAAGATGTATTGAGATTCATAAAGGCTTATGTTGGTAAGGTAGTAATCCCGGGATCTTCTTACAACATACATACTCATTTTGAAGCGGAAGGATACTTCTCTATTAAAGTGACACCTTTAGGAGCCAATTTTTGCCTTCTTGAAGAGATGGAGGAAGGTGAGATTCATGGTTTGATCAGAGAAGGAGAATCTTGGTGGAACCAGTGGTTCACTGAAATCATGAAATGGAAAGAGACGGACGTCGATCACGAAAGAGTAACTTGGATTAGGGTTTTTGGGATTCCCTGTCACGCGTGAAATTCTCAGTTTTTCATGTTTCTGGCTAAGATGGTGGGTACTTTTGTTTGCACTGATGAAAACACGATGAAACCGGCTAGTATGGACGTCGCCAGGATATTGGTTAGGACTAGATGTGCAATGGTTCTTAATGAGACTTTCATAATGAAGATTGATGGCAAAGTTTTCCATATTAAGTTAACGGAGGATTCTCATGCTCCATTAAGGATTGCAGTTAGGGAAGTGGTGCCATCCTTGGCTTCCTCCGAAACTAGCTCAGTAGCTGAGTCTATGGGCTAGAGAAGCAGAATACGAATTTGATGATATTGAAGCTTGGTCACCGGAGGGTAGTAGTGGCATCCAACCTCGCCAGTCTCCGGTTGACACGGGGCACGAGGAGGGAGAATTCGCGGGTTCTGTCTTTTCTAGGTCTGAACATAGGTATAACAACCCTAAGGGAAAAAGGAGCCGTCATTTCAGTAAGTAGACAGAGATGGCCAACTCAAAGAATATAGCTCTTTTCGATTCAGCGATTGAAAAGGCTATCTCTGTATCTGGTACTCTAGAAGGGGTAGGTGGTAACAAGAAGCTTGTGTCTCGAGAAGCTACGACAGGTGCTGTCAGATTTTCTGAATTGGCTGAGGAGGATAGCATCAGGTTGGGCACTGAGGTTGATGGGGACACATGTGAAGCTAGGAAGTTTCAATTTGTTGCTTAGAATCTATCGGTGGTGAACACCTTTACCTAACCAGTTGGATCTTGGCCCAAATGTTATTTGGCCTACGGTTACATCCATTGTGGGAGGTACGGGCCGGAAGCCGAAAGATGTGAACCAGAACCTTATCTCTTAAGACATAAAACATTCAAAGAAGCATTCTAAGAAGAATATTACTATGGACGTTGTGGCATGAAATCCTGTCCTTGAGAAAGACCCAAGCTTTTCAGGGGGTGATATTCTTTGTTGTGACTCAACTAATGACTCTGACATTAGACAATGCAACTTGAGGTTTTGGGGTAACATATAGTCTAATGTGGGGGAAAAAGTGTGGAATGTGATCGCTAATTTGAGTATATCTGCAAAAGCTAAAGGGAGAGATTTGAAGAAAACAATCAAAGATATATAAGTGGCAGATAGGAGGAATAATTCAGTTAAGAATGCGTCATCCATTAAGTTAAAATGATTTTAGGATCTTTAAATATCAGGGAGGGGGTAGCAGAATCAAGAGGAAGAGGATTGGTAAGGAAACTAAATCTGGAAAGGCAGATGTTTTCTTCATCCAAGAAACGAAACTATCAGAGATTCAGAATCAGGCAGCGTATAGTTTTCGGTGTCATTAGGGCAGTCATGAGGGTTATTAATTATGTGGAAATCTGTGTTTTTTGAAAAACTGTTTTCTTTTAGAGGCAATGGTTTTTTTTTTGGGTATGAAGGTAAGATGAAAGGGATTTGTTTATTATCTGGTTAACATATATTCTCCTTGTCAACTTCATCTCAAGAGGTTACTTTAGAAGGATCTTCTCAACCTGAAATCAAAGTATTGCAATGGGGATTGGTGTGTGGGTGGAGACTTTAACTCTACTACCAATAGTAAAGAGAGGAAAGGCAGTAGGTTAGTTAGCAAAGATGTTGAAATGAGGAAATTTAGTGGTTTTGTCGAAGAGGCTAAGTTGGTTGATGTTCCCTGCAAGGGGGGAAGGTTCTCTTGGTTTAGTGGTAATGGTAGATCTATGAGTAGAATAAATCGATTTTTGCTTTCTGATTCATTGAATGAAAGGTGGAACATGGTAAGGCAGCTTATTGGCAATAGAGAGGTCTCATACCATTGTCCGATTTGGCTAATTAGCAAGAGTGCTGACTGGGGCCCCAAATCCTTTAGAGTGATAAATGCTTTGTTCGATAACAAAGATTTCTTAGGTTTTGTCGAGAACGATTGGAAGACCTTTCAAGTGCAAGGAAGAAGTGATTATGTTCTTAAGGAAAAACTTAAGTTATTAAAAGGTAGCCTTAGGAGGTGGAACATGGAAGTGTTTGGCAAGGTCAATCTTGATCTAAAGGCTAACTTATCCACTTTAAACGAGATTGATGGCTTACTTGGTTGCTGTAGGGATGAAGAGATTAAAGATTTAGTTACTAACCGTAGTAAAGTTGTTTCGTCTTTATGGAGCAACTTAGTGTCTTAAGAGAGAATCCTGATCCAGAAGGCTAGAGTGAGATGGACTAGAGATGGAGACAACAATTCGACTTACTTCCACAACATTATCAAAGGCAGGAGAAGACGAAATTCGATTAATTCAATAATGTCTGACTATGGTTTGCTAGATGGGATTAGGGAAATCAAAGAGGAAGTCCCGACTCATTTCAGTAGCAAATATTTGGAACTTGAGAAAGATAGACCTGTGATGGATGAATGTTTGCTTAATTCTTTATCTTCTGCAGATATGCTTTTATTGGAGGCAGAATTCTCTGATTTGGAGATCAAGGAGGCGGTTTGGGATTGCGAAGGTGCGAAAAGTCCTGGTCCTGACGGTTATAACTTCACCTTCATTAGGAATTGTTGGCATTTCATGAAAGTTGACATATCTCGCTTCATCAAGGATTTTCATAGTAAGGCAAAGTTATCCAAATCTATTACTTCGAGTTTCTTATCATTGGTTCCAAAGAAAATGAACCCTCTTTCTTTGGATGACTATTGTCCGATTTTCTTGGTGGGGTGTCTTCATAAAATCATCTCAAAGTTATTGGATGTTTGTTTGAAAAGGGTGTTGGATGAGTTAATTTCTAGAAACCAATCTACTTTCATTCATGGGAGGCAGATGTTGGATAAAGTTCTTATTGTGAACGAGGTAGTGGATTTTTCTACTAGAGAGAATAAACAATGCCTTTTGTTTAAGGTTGACTTTGAGAAAGCTTACGATAAGGTTAACTGAGACTTTTTTCGGTTCACTCTTAAGGCTATGGGATTTGGTCAGCATTGGATTAACTAGATGGAAGTTGTGGTTTTCTCTAGCAAAATTTCGGTTCTTGTCAACAGGAGTCCTACCAAGGAATTTGTAGTTGAAAGGGGTTTGCGTCTGGGTGATCCCTTATCACCTTTTCTTTTTATTCAGATCACAAAAGCTTTAACGAAGTTATTTAGTAAGGCTGCAGAGATTGGTATGTTCGAAGGCCTTCCTCTTAGTTTGGTCTATCAAAGCTATTTTGAAGGGCTTCAAAATGTTATCTGGCCTTGGAGTTAATTTTTCTAAGAGCATGGTTATTGGTATGAACTTGAATCAACATTTTCTGCACGCTGTGGCTTCTTTCTTGGCTTGTAGGATCGAGGATAAGTCCTTTATTTTCTTGGGCATTCCCATTGGATCTAATCCTAGACGAGTTTGCACTTGGACTAAGGTTGTGAACATCGTCCGTGCTAGATTGGCATATTGGAAAGGTAAGATTTTGTCTTTTGGAGCAAGAATCACTTTGTTAAAATCTATTCTTGGCAACCTTACAATATCCTTTATGTCCTTTTTCAAAATGTCGGTAATGATTTGGAAAGAGGTGGAAAGATTATTCAACAAATATCTTTGGAGCGGCTCGTCGGATCACATGAAAGCTGTTTGGATCAGCTGGAACAAAGTTTGCTGCCCTACTGCCCTACCGCCTTGAAAATTCTGTTGGTTAACCTTTCGTTGGTGGCTGGTTGTGAGGATAATGTTGTTTGGAACCTTGATCCTATCATTGGTTACACTGCCAGATCTGGGTACTAAAGCATCCAAGATTGTTGTCTGGTGTCTGATATTCCTAGCAGCAAGTCTGAAGCTTGTACCTCTTTTTGGAAAGCTGTTGTCCCGTTGAAAATTCTAGCTTTCGCATGGAGGTGTTATTTTAATGGTATTCCTACCTTTGATCAACTCTCGAGGAGAGGAATTATCACTTCTACTTCCTCTTCTCTTTGTTCTCTTTGTTCCATCTTTCCTAAAAATATTTTCCATCTCTTCTTCGGTTGCCAAATATCAGCCTTGGTTTGGTAGAAGATCAAGGAGTGGGTTGGAGTGATTTTGGAAGACAAAGAAAACTTTTGGGATAATTTTTTGGAGTGGAACAAGGTTGTGAATACATGTAAGAAACACAAAGATAGGGTTGGAATTATCTGCTTAGTCGTCATTTGGTACATTTGGTTATGCAGAAATCATATTATTTTCAGGGGTAGCCTTTTAGTTGTTTCTGATTTGCTTTGGGACATTAAAAGCATGGCTTTGAGGTGGTGTTTGGCGGGGGAAAATCCTCATTCCAACTGTAATTTTTTTGCTTTCTGTCAGTCCCCTTTCGACGGTTAGGCTAAGCTTTTAGTTGGTCTGGATTTTCTTAGCCTTTTCTTATGTTGGCACTCTCTTTTGTATGATGGGTTTGAGTACCCCTAGTACTCCTTTAATCCATTCCATTTCTTATAAAGAAAAGACGATGAAAAGAAAAAATATAGAAATTCTTTTTCAAATAATTAAGTTTTTCAAATTAAATACTCAAATAATCAATACTTTAAATTATTCATTAAAGTATTCATGTTTTAAAAAAAATTTACACATGTGTCACTCCTACTGAATGCACTAAAAAATGGCGTGAAACCCATGTCTAGTGACGCATGCATTATGAACATCTAAATTCCATTAGTGCATGTATTGTTTTCCTAAGAGAATGTGCCCCTGACGAGACGCATAATTGAACTTTTTTTTATATGTATATTTTTAAAATTATAGTTATAATTAATTAAAAAAACAATTGCAAAAATATTAATATTATTAAATTTAAATAGAGTTATTAGGTGGAAAATTTTGTAAACAAATTTTAACGACTCATTTGATCATAATAGCCACTGATTTCATAACTCGGCGGTGTATTTTGCCGTTGAGGTTGCACACGATTCCCTAGTGGTGGTTATTGTCTCTAGGGATTCATTTGAGGTATTTAGTGCCTCCCTGGATTCACCTGAGGTGTTTGGAGCAAGGTCCCTAGAAAATTAGTGTCATTAATGAACTCTAGCATCTCTTGTCAGTTACATGCGTTTTCGTAATCGAGTTTAGTGTCCATGTTATTGTAGTTGGGTCATGATGGTTGGGTTACACGTGGTTGGGCTGGCTGGTTGAATTGGGACATTGATTCGTTTTGGAAACAAAGTAATGATTATTGTGGTGTTTGATAGGCATGTGTTGGTTGGGTGCTTTGGCGGTGTGAAGTTTAGGTACTTTGGGGGTCGGATGTTTGAGTGTATATTGGTTAGGTGTGTTGCACCCTAAAATTTGACCAACCGGTTCCCACATCTGGTTTATGGTTCGACGCATTTCGCATTCGCATTCGCATACCGCATACAGTGCATTTTCTCATTCATATTGATTTTATCGGGATTACAGCCCTGTTTTCACATTTCGGGTATTTCAGACCGATTCGGATAATTGGAGATTATTTTGAGAAGTCACGCGCTTCCTGGGTGTTTTCAGCTTACGCAGTGATTTTGGAGGATTTCGGTGTTTGGGTTCACTGCTTGCTTCGATCTGGTCTCGCGCTCTCTTTTATGTTGGTTGTTTGTCTTTGTTAGCATTTTTAGGATTTAATAGCCTTTTATAGATTTTAAATAGGTTTTATAGCTTTTTCTAGAATTTAAATAGATGATTCCTAGAATTTTTTTTTGAGATAATAGTTTTTTTTTATGGATTTAATGGATTTTTCTAGATATTAGATAGATTTTTTTTATAGCTTTAATAGATATTAAATGTTTTTTAAATAGTTTTAGAGTTAATATCAATTTTCCTTTTTAGATAATGGTTTTAAAATGATTTTTAATAGGAAATTCTTTTACTAGGTTTTTTTAAATAGAATTAATAGAATTTTTCTATTTTTTGTTTGTATAGAAATTAATAGAATTAATAGATTTTTCTTTCTATTTTTTTTTATTTGTTTAGAAATCAATAGAGTTTAATAGGTTTAATCCTCTTTTTTAGATTTAATATAGATTTAGGATTTAATTAGATTAATTAGATCTTAATCAGTTTTTAGATGTTAATTAGGGTCTTATTAGCTTTAATTAGGGTAAGAATAGTCTTAATTAGGCTTTAATTGTAGTTTAAGTTTAGTTTAGTATTAATCGAGTTTTTAATTAGGCTTAATCAGGTATTAATTAGGTGTTAACCAAGTCTGAGTTGTAGTGGGCCAGATGTCCATTTTCTGGGCCCAGTCCGCGCCAGGTGGCGTATAAAGCCAATGACACGCGTGTGCATCAGTTTCAGCCACTCCATTTTTTTTATCGCCACGTTTCATACTCTGCTTCCACCACTTCACAGCCTGCATGCTCCCACAATCACACACGCGTCACCCCATGCACCCACTATCACCACACGTGGCCTCACTTCATCTTCCCTCTGCATGCAGCAACGCCACCTCACCCCTCGCCGGATTCTTGGCCGCCGGCCATGCAACCGCCGCGCCGGCCACCTGCTAACTGCCTCCGACCACTCTAACGGTCACCGGAGCTCCCAACGGTCACCGGAGAACTGCAAAATCACCGGAAAATTCATCACTCATTCATCTTTCTCAGAATCCATCAACTAATCTCCAACAACCATTTCCAGAAATCACCAATAATCTTCATCCAACATTCAACGATTTGCTAGATTCCTCAGAAATCTTCAATGTTCATCATCGGTTTTTGCATCTTCATAGATCATCCTCGTTCATCAAGTTCCTATGCTCATCAATCATTGCCCAGATTTCTTCAAGATCTTTGAAGATCTTGAAGGATTCTCGACGAACTCCTTCATGCATGTTCATCTGTCTGCGTCTGATCTTCATACATTCAAGTTCTTCAGATTAACGTTCATCAGGATCTCCGTTCAGGTTCCCAGAAGTTCATCGGAGATGATGAACATTCATCAAAGCTCGTCAAACCACAAGAAGGCTCAAGAGCATTCGTCCAATTTCGCGAGCTATTCTTCAAATCTGCATCTGTTGTCAAGAAATCTTGAAGAATAACAAGAACATTCAACCGCCATAAACAGATTTCCAGATTCGGTTCATCAACATCTTCATCGTTCATCCGTATTTCTCCAAACCTATGAACGTTCATAAATCATCGGTGTTCATCAAGCGTTAAATTGTCTTCCAAGATTCATCCAGAAACATTCCAAACCTTCATCCATTTCGCGCATCCAGATTTTTCGGTAAGCATCCAAACAAGTTCACCTGTTCATCAACCATCCATTCGAATGTTCACCGCACCTTCAAAAGAACTCCAGAAATCTTCCGTTCAAGAACTGCATGCATTATCAGATCTCCAGGTTCCTTTAACTACCTTCATTAACATCTTCATCAGCGAAAAAACTCCGTATCCACTTCAGATCCTCAAGAACGTTCAAAGACGGAGGATCCATTTCCAGAGGATGTGCATCGTTGTTTTTTGTGGTTGTTCGTCTTGGTTCATCTATTTTTGTGAGATGTAAAACAAGATGATGTTGAATCTGAGAGGTTGAACGAAATGGAAGGGTGAAGTTTGAGAGAGAGAGTCTGAGAGAGAAGGGAAACAGCGTAAGGGAGTAAGGTGAACAGTGTTTGGAAGATTGAAGGATTAGGGTTTGATGAATCATGGGTTACGTGGCTGGTGGATTGGGCCGTGGCCCATTGGCTTTTTTTCAGACGCATACTCCCCGTTTCTTTTTCCTCCCCCCTCCGTGTGTGTGTGTATTGTTACTGATTGGGCTAGGCCCATTCTTTGTTTTTCTGGGCATACCCCCCGTGTTTCTTTTCGCACCCCCTTCCCTGTTTTCTTTGTGACCATTTGTTGGGCTGGGCCCAACTCTCACCCTGTTTCATTTTACTGACTGCACCATTCTGTATCATTTACCCCCCTGCTAGCTATTTTTTTGTGTTTTTTTATGGCAATTTAATTGAAGTGTTAAGA